CAGTGCGATTCAGGCAGAACAAGCAGCTTGTGGTAAGTCTCTCACTGACTGCAGAGCACAGAGAAAGGCCCTCCCTTGGAGTAAAACACCTTTGAGTAATAAATGTCTGCTTTGAAGAATTTAAGTATTAAAGCTAGCTGTATTATTAAGGAAGTGCTATGGGGCAACCACAAATGTGATTTTCAGTTGTGTCGTCTTTCTTCTCTATAGCTATGAAGGATATAATTCTACTTCAGACAAATAAATAAATAAATAGAGATTTAGAAATAAACCACCAAATATCCCAAGACTTACAATAAAACCTTTGTGTGAGCTGGCACAAGCAGAATGCAGGAACAATCACAAAACCACGGATGGAATACGAAGAGTAAATTTACTCTCGTTACCTCATGACCTGGGAGATCACAGCAGCAGCACCCAGGCAGAGGCAAGTGGTGATGCAGGCACTGTGGAGCTTGGTCCTTGCTAGCTGGAGGGAGGAGAAGAAAGAAAAGATCTTGAACCCGCTGCTTTCGCCTGTATATATCAGGGATTTTCACAGGCATAGTTTGCCACTGTGTTTTGATCTTTCCCACAGCAGGGCAGAAATCTCAAGGATGTTCAACAGGGTGACTCTGAGTCTCTCACAGGCCTGTGTTATCTAAGCACAGACATTCTACCCATAAAGCACACAAAGCTAAACAACAATTAGTGAGATATATGTGGGTTTTGGCACCCCAGCTGCAAGTCACTTGAGCGTGTTTACAATCATCTTTGCCAATCTTCCATTGTATTCCCAAATCATACAAATTTTTATCAGTGGTAGGGAAAAGTGTGAATTATGCTAGGAAAACTTCATTTCCTTACTTTTGCATAAGAGTATACATAGCTCATATATACATTTTTAGCTCAATAGTAGAAATCTCTTAGGATTAATGAAAATACTGTGTCCAGATCACTTTCCTCAATAGATGATTTTGTTAACTTTAAAAAATTGAAGACTGAGTTTTTTACTTGGTTAAATTATCTGATTTATTTATCATAAAATGAAAGAGGAGTGTTTGTTTGTAGCATTGACCTGTACTGAAGCCAGATTTGAATTTGGCCTATGTATTATGAATTCTAACTTTTTCTTTCCTTGTTAGTTGGATGGTGTAAGTGTGAGACCCCCTGCTCATCCTCATGAAGGTATTCGTATATATCAGAGGACAACAAGAATTTACCTGCAGACAGATTTTGGCTTATACCTGAGCTTTGATGGCAATCAAAATGCAGGTAAGTGATACTAAGACAATGTGCACGAGTACTTATGCATTGTCTCAAAATATGTTGACATTCCAAAGGAGGTCTAAACCCAAGGCAAAATTAGCACCCTTTGAGTCTATGGCCCTTTGTAATATGAACTTCCAGAAAATTAAACCAAAAAGTGTTTCCCAGAAACCAGAAAGATCATTAAACTGGCATTTCTTTATCTGAATCTACCTGAATTTAGGAGAAATGAGATGTAGATGCAGACTGTTCTACTTTTTTACATGTTAAGTAAGGCCTTACTGTTAAAAACTAAAGCAAATCACTTAAAATTGCTAATCAGAATGATGGGGTGAAGATTGGATCTGTCCCTTTGCCAGCTTAACCCAATCATAGGACTGAGGTCTTCAAGCTATACAGCTGTGAGTGCATCCTTTTAGATGCTTCCTCTCAAGCCTACTTCAGACAATCCCATTCTTTAGTGGTTCTCAGCAGCACTCTTCTATCACATATACACAACTCACTCATGTAAGCTGAGCACATTACCTCCTTTGTTCAAAGCAGAGTTACTCCTGACTTACAATGGAATATATCCATGTTATTTCTGAGTGCATGGTGGCAGCAGCAGGCCATTTATACACATGACCATCATCCCAGACCCTATCATTCCAACTGCAGAATGAAAAGGTCTGTTTTATAAGAATTCTGTTTCTCAACAAGAAAGTGGATTGTAAAGTGAAGGGCAAAAAGTGGGTGGTGCAGTCGGGTAGTTGCAAAGGAGTAAGCATTATGCACTAAGAGCACTCAGATGATGATGTCATGTTACAATAATGCTTTACCGGCGGCAAGAAATTACTTTTTACATGATCCTTGTTGCAGAGCACATCGTGAATACATATGTTCAGGGCTGCATTCATATCCTACATATGAGGCCCATGTCACATTACCAGCTTTGATCTGAATAATGAAATGTGGTACACGGCACTGCTTCCTACGTCTTCCATGCACTCAGAAGAAAAGATTTCTGTGTAATGTTTTTTTTCCTTCTGAACTTCCCTAGATATAAAGCTGGCCAACACCTACAGAAACAGAGTAGAAGGCTTGTGTGGTGACTTTGATGGGAGACATAGAAATGACTTCACAAATCCAGATGGTGTTTGGGTGAAGAACGTGAATGTATTTGGTGAAAGCTGGAAAGTTCCTCTGAAAAGAACAACCTCTCGTCTCAGGTACTTAATTTTCTACTTAATATCCATGGCAAGCACAGTCACTGGAAGTGTGTGAGTTAAGCTGTAGTTAATATCCAGGAAAAACTATGCTGTCTGATTTCTGGTCTTTCTTCTTCCCTTCGTCTGTGTGTAGGAACTTTTCCTGATCATCACTAAGGTGAATTATCAGTGCCCTTCTATCTAGCCAAAAAAGGCCTGAACTCTCACTGCATTACTCCAGTTCAGTATCCCTCTTTGGAGTCACAGCCATTACAACTGCTAGGGCATAGAGGTGAATAAGACCTTTGCCATGGTTCTTGGCAAAGATAAATACATCATGTTTTGCTGGATGGGCCTGAGGGAGGGCAAATCCTGGTTCAGTGTCATCCCTCCTTCTGGAACATGAAGGTAGCTTTGGAACCCACCAAGATAAACTCATAGTTCCTCCCAGAAGATGTTTTTGAAGATTATAATTTCCTTACTTCCATGGCTATCTAGTGTTTTCTGCTAGTACACAAAAAGTAAGGACATTCTTTTGAGTATGAATGAGCATGATATTTGTGGTCAGGCAAATTCTGTGCTAATTGGTCCATACAGAACCTTGAAACAGGTAGGGAAATAAGTTTGTTTCCTTCGCAATTTGCTTTGAAAGACCTTTGGAGGTTGCTTAGCCACTAACACAGAATTTTTTCAGCAAGTAAATGGAAATGTATTAGCTGTCAGGATATAATCTGTCTGGAAAAACTTCTCTGCTGGAATAGTAGAAAGCAGTATGTAGGCTAGTGTTGAGCATAAAGGGGCTCTGGAGGCTATGCCTACAGGAGAGTTCTGGCACTTCAGGCATGCAGCCTGTTGTTCAGTGAAAGTGAGCATATGTCCAAGAAATAGTGGTCTATTCCAGCTGCATCATTCTGACCACTGTTTAAGTTTTATTGAATAGATTGGACAAAGGAAGCATTAGACAAAGCCTGTGTCATGCAAAATTTTCAAAGAGATAATTACAGATATCCCTTTTGATTTAAATACCCATAAATCTGTGATGGTAGGAAGTGTTCTAGTACATCTTTGATTTGCTTTATCTATCTCCTTCTCATTCAGGATGAATTCTGAGAGAGAAATAAGCTTACACTTACGCCAAAAGGCAGAAGTACTCTTGTGGTGTTACTTAGAGGGTAGTACCACGAATGCTGGACGTACAGGCAACTGATGGTTTCATAATGACTTTGTTTACAGACGAGATGTCAGCTCAGAAGATGAGTCTGAGGAGGAACCAGATCCAGGGCTCTTCCAGGGCTGCAGTGAAAATGAGCTGGGGCACGTAAACACAACTTCAAGATGTCAAATCCTGACTGACTCAAATGGTCCTTTCTTAAAGTGTCACTCTACAGTTTCACCAGATTTCTATTTCACGTAAGTGCCTACTGCAGACAGTTGTTCTCCCCATTTGCAAAATTATTTTGGTGATAGTTTCTGACAAGAACTTTGCATCGTCAGTCTCCAGGGTGTTAACAGGAATTGAGGACAGTAATTGTTTTTGGAGAACTGGGCCCAGTGATTCCATTATTGATATATTTAAATCCCCTTATTCATTTTTAAATAATAGTCTTTCCATCTATTTAGAGTTTCGCTTTTCTATTAGTTCTAGAAAGTAGCTTTCCTCTTTTCCTACACAGATGAAACAGCAGTATTAAGCCTACCTGTAGGCTGGAATTTCCAGTGTGCTTACAGTTCTCATCCATATTCAGTGAGAATTTAGTACCTGGCTCTACTAGCTTCATAAAATCTAGCCTTCATGCTATAGCCACAGAGGCTGAAGCTGTCAGTGACACTTCTTGATTTTTTTTCATGGAGAAATGCAAAAAAACAGATTAGTGAAGAGTAACTAACCCAGTGTCTTCAAGAAAGTTGCCTCTGACGTGTTTCAAGGCTGCTCTGGTCTCATTCATATACAATTCCTATCACCTAATTTTGAGCTTTACAAAACCTGTTGATTCATACCCACATCATCATTTATCCATTATCAGTCACAAAACTGCAAGTAGCTCCCACATTTTTAGTCATGTAGTTGTACCTAATGTTTAAAGATACATAATGTCCACCTCAAAGTCCATCTTAGCTATGAGAAGTATGTGAAGGCATCTTAAGCCAAATAAACTGGACCACTGGCTTCAATGTATAAATCCTGATTCTTAACATAAGCCAAATTTTCTCCTCACTCTAGAATTTGGTTGGGCAGCCTGTTCTACCTTCTTAGTGGTTGCCTGATTTTTCTGAGGTGCTGCATACTTGCAGAACCCACTTGTCTCAGGTCTCAATGCTACAGAAAATCAGGCCCTGAATATTCAGATGATGAGCAAACCTGAGAAGGTAGCAGTGGCAAACAAACACTGGGTAAAACAGAATTTTGTGTCAATATTCAAGGCATATGATCATAGGGAGGGCACCCATGTATTGAAAGAATTGTGTAGTCCAGCTATAAGACTTAGCAGCACTAAAAAGTACTCCATAAGCAAGATGCAGCCATGATAGCCTAAAACAGAAGCAGGCAGCAAAGAATAACTTACTGTGACAAGCAGAAAGGTACCTGTTTATTGCTTGTTCATATATGAATACCTTGCATGGCAGCAGCAGCTGCACAACAAATGACCTGATCTTTCCAGTCATGTGGCTGCAGTTTGTTTATTCTTCTGTTTTCCTGTCAGCCAGGCACAGGAAAATGGAACTAACTCAGAGTCAGACAGAAAAGCAGCTGAAAATAAACAATAACAAAGATATTGGGAATTAATGCTTTCTCATGTTGCACATAGGAGCTGCCTGTTTGATATGTGTGTGGAAGGAGACGAGGATGCTACCTTATGTCGCAGTCTGGAGGAATACGTGCTGGCTTGTCAGCAGCAAGGAGTCAGTATGGAAGGCTGGAGGCAACAGACAGTTTGTGGTAAGCACAGGAAGAACCAGAAAGTACGGTTTCTGCCTAAAGGACTCCCAAAATCTGAGATTTGAGGCTTTTCCTGGACGCACCATGTATCAGAGCTTCTCAGAGAGTAAAAGCATGTTGATTCACGCTTCAATCCCTGTTCACGGTTTAGCATGCACACTTGCTTTTCTGGCCTCTCTTCTGTGTCCTATGCTGACGTTTTCATTGAGGTCCCAGCTTAGAAAGCTTTTAGGAAAGTGGAGCTGTCAGTTTTATGTGAGAAAAAAATGTCCCCATTCCCAACTGGACAAAAAAGTTAAAATTTTGGAGACCATCACAAGCCACAGATCTGAAGTAAAAACATTACATTTAAATTTCTTTTTCAATCTACAAAATATACTAATTCTCCTTTTTGGCTGTGAAATTTCAAGATAAAAAAGATTCAGCTGAAAACTCCAAAGCTTTCAGACTAAAAAAATGCTGAAATAGTACTTATAATAATCTTAAACCTTTTTCGTAATTTTTTTTTCCAAGTTGGGAGATTCATCAAACCATACTTCCCCTGCGTCACTCATGACCAATGATTTTGCATTCCTGGTGAAACACCATTCCCAGAGTAGTGAAACAGCTCTGGTACTTGCAGGGATGTCTGCCCTGAATGTGTAAGACGTTATCTGAGATCAGTGAACACCAGGAATGAGAGCACATCATACAAATAGCTTTGACAAGGCATTTCCTGACTTTGGAGCTATTTACTTATAATTTCAGTATTATTATATATGTATGCACATCTCTGTGTATGTGTGTCCATCATATTGCCTCCTACAAAATGGTAACGGCTTCTGGATCTCAAAGGGCATTGTGTAAGCAAGGCACAGCAGCCCTGCTATAACTGGACTCTCATTTTTACAGGTATATCATGTCCTGCCAACAGCAAGTATAGCTCATGCATGTCTGCATGCCCAGCATCCTGCAATGACTTGACCAGCCCCTCTGAGTGTGAATCACCTTGCGTTGAAGGCTGTGAATGTCTCCCTGGCTATGTTCTTAGTGATTTTGACTGTGTGCCTTACAAACAATGTGGCTGCACATACCTTAACAAATATTATGAGGTACGATCTCTCTGTGGGTCAGACAGCTCCCACAGCACCAAACAATATTTTCTTCTGCTAATTATTTTGACAATCCCCTTGTTCTCCTCAGCATGTAATTTTGCATTAGAAACCAAAGCAAATGTTTAATAAAATTCTGGTCTCTGGAGGAACGGAAGAGAGAGCAGATCACCTGATCTGCCTCTGAAACTCTGTCTGCCAGAGTACTCAAGGCAGGCACTTGGAGAATGTATATGATTACACTCTGACCTCCATGTTAATTCTTCACCTTTACTGCACTCAATAATAGCCTCATAGGCTGTAAGGTTTACAACACAGTGGTTACAGAGAAATTCTATCAGCCACTGTGGTCCCTCTCCTCTCAGTGAAGATCGGTATAGGCAGGGTTGAGAGTCTATAGAGTTGGACATGATGACATGAAGATAGTCCCAAACTAGGCTGGATTCTGAGGATTATGGACAATCCTCCATTGTCACTGCAGGATAGAAAAGCTTCATAATCTCGTAGATTTCTGTTTTAACACTTGAGATCTGGTACGGAAAAGGCCTAAAACAGTAAAGATTATTTTATAGGAGAAGGATGACACTATGAACGGGTGGCACTTGCCAGAAAAATGGCACATAGCATTTCCACACTGCCTTGGAGGCATGATGTGATGCATCTGCCGCTCCTTTATCTCCAGCAACAGTTTGACACTGTTGTTTGCACATGTACCCCACCTGAGACTAGGAACTCATATCCCAAACTCTTCTTTGCCTTCTTTCTTGGACCATCCTTGAGTTTCAAAGGGCTGGAATAGTAAACTTGCTTTCTTTTTTGTACAAATTACTAAAAAACCCCTGAATCTGCCCTGTCATCATTCATCATGAAGGCATCAGGGAGAGCAGCATGGGCCCCCAGTGCCCCATTCATGGGTTTTCTGGCTGATTTTATTTGATATTTTTTAATATTTAACCGCTGTCTTCCAGATTGGAGAAATATTCACAACTGATGACTGCTCACAGAGATGCCAGTGCACAGAAAGCTCCACTGTCTCCTGCTCTAATATAGTGTGTGGTTCTGATGAAATCTGTGGCATTTCAAACTACAGTCGTGGATGCTACAGGAGTGAGTCAACCATTATCACATTATCTTTGATGCTAAGAAGTCTTGATTTACTGCTTATAGGACATCAGCTGGGTTGGGGGTAGTTGCAACAACAAGCGTACAGAAGGAAAGCATACCGTTGTTTCTGATGTTTCATTGTAGAAACAGTGTTTCTTTCCTTTATTCCTGTTTCAAGTACAGGTAATGTGCCTTAAAACACAGGGCATGTCCAGCATTAGGAGTCGGTGTAATTTGAGCAAGAACAGTTCTTTCAAGGTTGGATTAGCTGAGAGTCTGAACTGTTTCTCCTCCCTTCTTGCTAGGTGGACCATGTATGCCGAATCCTTGTAAGAATGACGGCGTTTGCTCTGAAACTACCAACAGCACCTCTCTCCGCTTCTACTGTGAATGTTCAGAACTGTACACAGGACCAAGCTGCGAGGCTGAAAAGATAGGTAATAAAACTATTTTGGGTTTCATTTTCTACAGTACACACATCACTTTCAAAAATGGGTGTCATTATGTAGAAAACTGAGCTCACTCTTCATTTCCATGCTGTAAATTAGTAACCCAGGGGTGAGAGGCTGTGATTATCCAAGTGGAAGGGTCCAATCCCCCAGTGGATGAGGTGCAGGACAGCAGGGCTCTGTAGAATACACAGGACCTGGGTCTGACACAACTCCAGAAAGCCACATTCATCAAAGAACACAGTATAAACAACCAGACAGACAGGGGTTGAGAAAAAATTTCTGTTCACAGTATGGTTAGCTTTCACTGACAGGGCTCTCATTTCTTCTTCAGCTGAAGACCCTCCCACACAGGATCCTGAGGACCATACAGTTGCGATCGTTGTTGGAGTTGTGGCTGGTGTAGTTGTTATCATCATTCTCATCTCCTCTACAGTATACCTGTACAGGTAAGGCTTTTCCCAGCTTTGCCACATTCAGCAGAATCAAGACCACAATCCTGATCCTTTTAGCACCTGTAAACCTCAAAACTCCCATTAGTCACATACCTGCGGGACCAGAAAAGAACCACAGTGTTCAAAACCTCCTTTGAGGTATGTGATGGAAAACTTAGCTTTTCCTACAGAAATGAACATACGCCATTTCCTTTACACAGGGTATATGCATCACTATCACAAAACTTGGGTTTCTCCAAAACTTTACTTCATTCATGCTCACACCATTATTTGACCTCTCACTACAGCTAAGAATAGAAATTAAAAATGGTTGTTCTTTTTTTTTTTTTTTTCCATTGTACAGAAGGAAGAGAAAGATGGATACAGCTGCAAAATTAAGGGATTCTTCTTTGAAACAGTCCAGGGATGTACTGGATGCCAGAGTGTATGAGCAAGATTATGGCTGCATTGTGAACACTGCATTTGATCAAAATGAATCCCGAAATACATACCTATAGTTGGCAATATTTTTCCAATTCATTTGTATTACTTTCTGCTCTTGTATTTTAATAGTATTTCTAACACTTTAAGAAGAAATAATAGTAAATAAATAATTGCATTTGGTGAAAACCTTTGAAATTGTTCTTTGAAAATATCTCTCAGATCTCGTGTTGTAGACCCCAAGTGAAATATGTCCTGACTCACGCAAGAGACTGTGTTGTCTTCAGAGATTCTTTGAAAAACACAAAGTCCAGACAGACTCTGCCTACAAAAGTGTGTGGCACACCATCACGTACACACCTCTGACAGATGTACGAACCATAGACTGATGCAGTTAAAATTAATAAGAGCATCCCAGGCAGGTCTTCATGAGATCATCCTATCCAAATCCTTCCACGAGGAGGGGATTAGCTGAGCTGGACACAGTTCTTACTCCTCTTCTGGCAAGCATGTCCAGCTGAGGAGAGAAATCCGTAAGACACTGAGCTCATCTGGTGACAGGTGTAGTAAAAAGAATGACCCCTATTGTTCCCCAAGGTGGGAGTGCCGGACTGGAAGAAGTGAATGTCTGAAGGAGAGTTGCCTCCTTGCTGTGGGGGCAGTGAACAAGAAGTAGGGCTGTCATCAGCTCCCTGTGCCAGAGGCTAAGCAAGAACATAGCTTAACAAAAACTTTCTGAAGAATAAGATCCTGTCATAAACTCTCCTTGGGGGGTCTTCGCATACTCAGAAGCTGCCACACTCATCCATGTGGGTAGAGATCTGCACCAGCTCACTCCCAGACCATGCTAAGGACCCCCTACAGCAGGCGACCAGAGGTGTTTGTGGCAAGGGCTGATAAAGTTCAGTGTGCGAGACACCCAGCCCATGACAAACCACTCACAAGGCTCGTGGCAGTGGGGCACTGCCCGGGCCTCGTCCATGCCCTGAACAAATTTCCAGTGCCATAAACGAAGCTCTGAGATGTAAGAAATGCACCATTAAGCTTTCTCTGATGCTTTTCCTGTTCTTTGCAGGTTCATTTCTGACTATGGTGAGGAACAGTGTGGGCTTCCCATTGTTTCTGCCATAATGCTGGATATTATTTACTTACCCTTTCTCCTTTCACTTGCATCCGTAAACTCATGTGTGCTGTTACCCAGAAAAGTATTTGTAACTCCATGAACAGTTAGGTGGATAAAAGGCATTTTATTCTGGTCCATTCAAGAACATGCCAGCCGTCCATACATGCACAGCACAGCTATTTTGGAGAGGATGTGAATGGAAAGGGGCTTTCAGCCATTACATAATGAAAATGAACCAGCGCGAGAGACCTACTCGTGCACAAATGAACTGTCAACCTTATGCTGGAATTTCACTGTGATTATAAAAGCATCTTTCCTGCCTGTTCAGCGGCAGCTTCCTCTTTCGCTCTCGCACTTGCTAACTGCGATTCTGTGACCATTGAGCGGGGCTGACCGCGCTCGCCTCCCCTCGCACTCAGTGAGAACACAGGCCAGTCCCTACCCTGCAGGATCCCAGTCCCGGGCTCTCCCGAGCAACAGGGCCCAGCTGCGCCCAGCTATTTTTTTTTTTTTTTTTTTTTTTTGTCCAATATGACAAGAATTGCCTTGACTTTCCACTGCAAAGCTTTGCAAATACTTCAGACTCGAAACGTGGTGATACAGAAAGCAGGATTGCAATTCAGTGCTCCACTGAATTAACTATTCTATGTCGGTAGAAGCCAGAAGAATGACAAATCTTCCACTGCTCCGATATTTTAAATCGACCAGCTTGCTCGCCTGACTTTTGAAATGCTGGGCTGTAAATACCTGCTTAGTTCAACTCGCCCAGAGGATGGTTTTAGTGAACCCTTCTTTTTAGCATACTGTGCCGGCAATAGCCAGGGGGACAGCCCTACCTCACCCCTCGGCTCAGGGCACTTGCTGCTCATAATCACGAGACTGCTCTGTTGTCCCGAAGGGAATTCCTGGGCCACAACATGAAAAGCCATCCTAGAAATCTCTTTGCCCTAAAATGGCCACTAGGATTTACTCTGAGCTCTACCTCCTTTGCTCCTCCTCACCAGCAAAGAAATGAAACAGCAGAAGCATTGCCCTCCCTCTCCCTCCCCTTCCTCTCCCCTCCCCTCCGGTTTCCCGGCGAGGGGTGCTCACTGACCCCTGGGCCCGCAGGGCAGCTGCCCCAGCTCGCTGGAGACCC